GGGCCCCGGGTGCTGGCGGACCCCGCACCTCCCCACGGGGAGAGAGACCGCCCACTGTCCCGCCGACCCCAGGGTCCCCCGAGGAACGGGAGCCGGTCCAGGACCCATCGTAGTCTCCGGTCTCGGTGCCTGGGAGGCATTTGGAGGCCGATTGCTGCTGCTGCTGCTGCCGCTGCCGCTGCTGCTGCTGTTGCTCTTGCGGGAAATGGAGACAAAGCCTGAGCGCGCCACTGTGCGAGCGATGTCTGCTTAGGCTTGAGACTTTTTATAAAACACTGAGAAGTTTGTAGTACATTAGACTTTCACGGCATAAAGGAGTATTTTTGTGGGTGGCTTTTGTTTAGGGCTTGTTTGCGGAGGCGGCTTATAGTTTGGAGCGATTGGGATTTGGTGACGCTCAGCTTTGCTACTGAGCCCAAGAATGCGTTAGGTTTATCTTTGGGACTTTTGGCCTGGGAAAGAGATGAGAGGCGTCCCCCTCCCCAAATCCTCTCCTTCCTTCCTCCCTCCCTGCATTCCAAGCCCATGACATCAGGGGTTTCTAGGGGGAGAGACCAGCCAATCGGCGCGGAACTGCGCACAGAACGCTCATTGTCTCTTTTCTGCTGTTCTGGCCAAAGCGCCACAAAGGAGGGCTGCTGTGGTTTAATTCCCATTAACCTCCCGGGAGCCCAAGCATGTCAGGATTGCCACCGCACCGTCCGACCACTGGTGGAAGGCACTGGCATTGTCAGAGCTGGAACATCCCGGGGCTGCGGGGGTAGGCGGTGTGAAGCGAATTATGTTGAGGTAATGAAGCGCACCGTTGTCAAACCCCAAGGGAGAGTTGTGGCTCTTGTCTCCCGCTGTTAGTCTGCACATCATACCGTCTTTGAAGCAAAGGGTTGATTTTAGTCTATGTATCTAAAGTTGAAATGTTTAGGTCCTTTACTTTTTCAAACGTCTTGCCCGTGTTGGACAACAGTTTGCTAAACAGTTTTTTTAAGAGCAGAAAGGTGAGTGGTATATGATTGAATGCAAACCTCACCAACTGAAAAGTTTGTAACAAGTTAATTGTTCCCTTCCTTCCAGGGTTTACAAACCGAACTTTAGGAAACTTTGCAGAGGAACGGGCATGTCCAAAACGTTGGACGTGTTGTGAGACTTTTTGGCCTGCTTGTGCACATTCACTGTAATTCCCCCCAGTGATTCTTGGTTGGCAGCAGTTGAGTCTCTTTACTACCTTTTGCATTGTAAATGAGGTACTGATAACGTTGGCAGCTCTTCAAGTGACTTACTTTTCTTGGATGTTAATAATATTCTTGCTAATTTCTTTTTTGCTGACTAATGTAGCAGCTTCTGCCGTTTTCCTGCTTAATACTGAGCAGACTCAAGGAAATGCATGCACAGGCCAGATCACTGTAATTATTATAAATGTTTAAAAACAGTAAAACCTCAGTTTTTAGAACATTTGGAAAGTTAGTTAGGAAAGCTGTGGATTTATCCCTTTAAGCACCAAACCCATTTTTTAATAGCCCGTTTCATTTTTGTAGTCCTTTCAGACAGTATTCTTTCATAGGAAGTCTTTTCATCTTAACAGCAGAGCAGTCCTGGAAGGTGAGGAGGATTGCTGGGATTATCCAACATCATTTACAGATCAGTACACTGAAGCTCAGAAAGATTTGCTCAAGGTCACAGAAGTTGGACTGTTCTAAGAATTTTAACTCTAAAAGCGATGTCTTAGTTGAGTGAAGTACTTAGGGATGTTCTACACAAGACTCTGCTGTCTGTCGCCTTCCCCCCCACCTTTTTTTTTTTTTTTTTTGAGACGGAGTCTTGCTCTGTCGCCCAGGCTGGAGGGCAGGGGCACGATCTCAGCTCACTGCAACTTCCGCCTCCCGGGTTCAAGCGATTCTCCTGCCTCAGCCTCCCAAGTAGCTGGGATTACAGGCACCTGCCACCACACCCGGCTAATTTTTGTATTTTTTAGTAGAGACAGGGTTTTGCGACGTTGGCCAGGCTGGTCTCCAACTCCTCACCTCAGGTGATTTCCTCCTGCCTTAGCCTCCCCAAATGCTGGGATAACAGGTGTGAGCCACGGTGCCCAGCCCTTCCCCCCATTTTTACTACCCACCTGTCACTTCTTGACATTGTGATTATTTATGTGATACTGTTTCTGATCTGTTCTGGACCTGGGAATCAAATTAGCCGTGTTTGCTAGGCCTTTGTATGAAATGCTACATTCTGATGGAGGCCTCAGGACTCCCGGGTGAAAGGTGGGTATATGCAAAAGTGACATTGCGTGGTTTGACACTTTTTGATTCCTTCCTGCTTTTTCTTTATTGCGTAATTGATACATTGCTTGAATGCTAGATTTCCCCCATCCACCCCTAAATCTCATTTAACAAAGAAGTATAGAAACATCCTGGGGAGACAATGTGGAGTGGACCTGGGAGTCTAGCATATGTGAGTTCTAGTCCCCGTTCCGCCACTTCCTGCCTTCTGTGATGCTGGGCAAGCTACCTGACATCTCTCTCCTAGTTTGTCATCTGTAGAATGGGGGAAAACAATAGTTACCACCCCTAAACACCATGTTGTGGAAATGTATCTGGCTTGTATTCAGTACTCAGTGACTGTATTGTAGCTATTAGCTCTTAGTAACAGAAAATTAGTTATTGGTATTATATTTCTAAGATATTTATGTCCCTGCCTCTTTAAGTAGTTGGTTTGTATTAATACTTTTTGGTCTTGTTATATAATATTCTAGCTGTAAAAGCAGTTCATCAGTGAATTGAGGATGTCTCTGATTTTAAATACTTTAATCAGTAAAATTTCAGGGAAAAATCTTTAAGACATTTGATTGATAAGATGATAATACATGGCAGAACACACAAACTTACTTTCTTTAATAGGCAAGAAGATGTGTGAAAACAGCCTTAAAAAAAAGAAAAACCCTAAGAATTCCAGTCTTTCAGCGTGGAATACGAACAAAGTTTCTTTAATAACAAAGAAAAAAATGACACCAAATGACCAATAACTTGTAGTTTACAAAAACTATCAGAGAGTAAAAGGGCCAGGGAAAATGCAGACACTGGTGTATGGATGGTTCGATGGAGGATGGAAACACTCGTAAAGTAATGGGCCCTACAGGTATTCTACAGTTTGAGCCAGGCCCTTGAATGCATCTTGGGAACCAAAATGAAAAGTGAAACAATTCTGTGCCTCATAAACCATGAAAAAATATAACAGGTACTCAAGGGAAGCACAGGATTTCCTGGCAAAATGTTGGAGTGGGGGTAGTTTCCCGTAAATTTGGACGGGAAAAGAGGACGCAGTGAAGCATGTCTTCATCAGACTTGGAGTAAATGCCGCAGGAACCTTTCTTACAGGTCTCAGGGAAAGTGGAAAAAATAAATTGACGAGTGGGGAGCTGAAATAATCTTACCTCGGTATGTTTTTTTGGGAGGAGGCTAACTGAAATATTAAGAAGCATGGAATTGGAATGCACATTCTTCCAGTCTTCTGCCCCCCTGGAATGTCTGATTTGAGCAAAGCAGCTTCCCACAGGATCTTCTTGGTTACAAAATGGTATTTCTCAACACCTAAAAACCATCTTGAAAGGCTTATTACCAAAATCTTTGGTTGTTGAAGTTAATCATATAGTAATAATTGGACAGGACCAGTGTCCGTGGAGTCCTCCCAGCCTGTTTGCCGGCTGCGCTTCAGACGCACAGCTGCTCTGAGGGTACTTCTGGTAAGAGTAACCCAGGGTGGCCCAGCTGTCAATTATACCCGAAGGTGGGTTGCCTTGTCTTGCTGGTAGAGCACCAGAATC